TGCTAGGACTAATTATTTCCATGATTTTTTGGTTTTCTTCATTCTTCTTTGCTCTGGATGAGGAGAGACCCATCATTGCATCTAGATGGCAGCTTGCAAGTTTTTAAGACCCCAGTCTCTACTCACCAAAGTAGGAGGTGGAACAATGTTTTGTATAGTATGTTATGCCAATTGAGCTTGATGTCCCCTGCGACTATGGTCCCGAGCCCATAGGTTCAACTACTCGGTCCCTCTTGGTAGCTGGCTGTGACCAAGCAGTGACTACAACCTTGCCCCTTGTCAGCTCTACTATACACCTGGGTAGATTTTTTTGTCTGAACATGTGGAATACCGAGTTTTTGTAGTCAAAATAAGGATTGTAGAAGGAGCTGGTTTGCAGAAGGAAATTAGGAGTTTAGTTTTGAATGTTAAGTTTGAAATATCTACTAGGTTTCTGACTGGAGATGTCAAGAATGTAGTTGACATCTGGCTTATACAAGGGAAGCCCTGGTGGACATATAATATGGTGGCTTTCATCTTCATATGCGGGATTTAAAACCGTGAGACTGAGGACTGCCAACATGAAAGGATTGGGAAGATGAGGTGTGAACGCACACACAGAAAATGACTAAAGGGGGTGGTAAGGAATGTGGGAGGAAAGCCATGACTGTAGTGTTCTGGAAGTCAAATTCAGAAAGTGTTTCAAGTAGAACAGTGAATATAAAAATGTAAAAACCATTCACGTAAAAGGTATTGGACATATATTTAGATCTACATCACTATTTATCTCTCTTTATAATCTCACTTTTTTGTACCACACACTGTGTTTTTAAGATCCATTTCAATTGCTAAGAGTGCACCTATTGTTTTGTGTCTATTCTACTATGTGGTACTCTTTGGCATATATCTATCATGTCCTTTGACCTACGGCTTCTTTCAGTGCTGGACACTCAGATCTAAGTCAGTTCTACACCATCACATAAATCCCACAGGTTTTTTATGGACCTTTGTGAAATTTGTCTTGGCATACACCCAGGAATAAAATTCCTGGATCCTAGGGTTTACATCTTCTAAATTAGCCCCAGACTGCTCTTTCTAGGATGGCTGTAGCCTACTCTACTTTCACCACATATCCCCTCAACTCTTGTCATTATCTGGCTTTCTAGTTTTGATGTGTAAAGTTGGATTTAGAGGACTATTTCTGTTTTAATTTTTGTTTCTCTGTCTTCTTGCCCCCATCTCTGTTGATTGTTCTCCTGGTTTGGTGTATGGTTATTATTTCCTTTAACTTCTCTACTGTGCTGGATCTCATGTTTTTTTGCATCTCATATTCTTCACTTTTTTGTTTTGTTTTCTCATTTTGCTAAAGAACATCCATCAGTTGATTTCTTCTTAGGACAGGATGTCTGGGACATGTAATCTGAATTCTTGCCTATCTGAAGACATCTTTATCATCCCAGACTCACACTTGATAGCTTGGCTGTATATTGAATTCTAGAATGACAATAATTTTCCTCTGGGAATTTGAAGACATCATTGTGTTTTCTTCTGACTTCCAGTGTTGATTTTGAGAAAGTGATGCCATTCATGATTCTTTGTGGATTTTGTAGATTCATGATTTATCTCTGGAAGATTTCAATACTCTTCAGTCTTGTAAGGAGCTCTAGTTAAAACATTGAGCTGCTGCTAACCAAAAGGTTGGCAGTTCAAGCCTACCAGCCACTGTGTGAGAGAATGATGAGGCAGTCTACTTCCATAAAGATTTATAGCCTTGGAAACCTTGTGGAGTAGTTCTACTCTTTCCGTTAGGGCCACTATGACTTGGAATGGACTCCATCGATGACAGTGGGTTTGGTTTTTTGGTTTTATTCCTGATGATCTCTTGGTGTGAGTTTTGCCGTTGAAAACTTGGTGGCCAATTTTGATGTTCTCACTTTTGGATGTTACCAATGTTATCTATATTAATCTTTAAACTTTTAAATCTCTACTCTGATATTTTCCATCTCTTTATTTTACTTTCCCACCTTTACTGTCTAAGCCCTTACATTAGTTTTCTATTACTATGTAACAAATTACTACAAATGTAGCACAAATAAATTATCTAACAATTTTTGTAGATGAGAAATCTGGCACGGTGTGGCTGAATTCTCGGCTCAGGGTCTCACCAGGCTAAAATCAAGGTATTGGTCAGGCTTACAGTTCTTATCTGGGACTTGAGGATCTTCTTTCAAGTTCACTATTTGTTGGCAGAATTCATTTCATTTTCACCCTAATTAGTAGTCTTAATTACAAATCCCTTCATCATGTAAAGCAATATATTCACAATCGCAGGGATTAGGGCATGGAATCTTTTTAGGATTGTAATTTTACCTAACACACCCTTTTAATTGCATTTTTTTTTTTAATTACTGCTCTCATGTTTTTATGTCCAAATGTTATTCTCTTAGTTGGAGATTTTTTTCTTATATCATAGACACAGTAACTTCTCTGTTTTCTGAGGATCTCAGGTGTTTTTTGGTCACGTGTGTATGTTTAACTCTTCTGCTCCTTGCATTATTTCCTTTTCGACCAAGTTTCTTTCTTGTTTGTTCTGTTCTTTGTCTTACATGTTGGATGCTATTCTGCTGTCCTAAAATGTCTGGTCCATATTTAAGAGTAAGGCCTGTTTATCTCTTGAGAGATTGGGTATATTATGCAGATATGATTTCAGTTAGATGATATGTTAATCCTGTTGAACTTCCCTGAACTCCTTTATAAAATTCATTTTGATCTTCATTACTCTTGCATGATTAGAAATGTTTAAACTTTATAAAATTTTAATGTAGAGTGGTGCAATGGTTTTTGTAACTGATTTTCTTTTGTCTCTGTGTAATTTGGATTTATCAAATACATTCATTTGGAATTTATCTATAACATCAGTTTTCTTTCTTTCTGTTCAACATCCAGATCCAGACAAGGATGATACTCCTATGGTGGACTACAAAAAGTTCTACTTGATAGTTATTATTTGCTTCAAGTCAGCTGTAACTAGCTGTTGTTGTGTTTTTCTCATATTTTATCCACTAAATTGGAGAAGTAGCCTCATAATATACAGTTGATTGTGTACGTGTGTCTAGCCTCACTATCATTACATATGTAATTTGATAGTTCAAAAACTAAAATATTTAGAGCAATAAAGTTGAAAAAATATATAATAAGTAATACAATTCTATTATTCATTCACAAGGATTCCTTATGCTAGGGTACCATAGCCACCATGTTCCCCTTCTTAATGGCAACCAAGAGGTCACAATATTTTATACTTTTCCAGATATTTTAAGGATATAATAGCAATATTATATTCATATTTTCATAACCTCACTTTTCTTTCTCTCTGCCTTTCTGTGTCCCTCTTATTTTCTTCTCTCTCTCTCTTTTTTTTTTAAATTCACATTTTAAGACTTTTATTTTGTATTGTCAAATCACTTTCCTGAAAGATTTTACAAATTTACACCACTAACAACAATATATATTTCATCTGTTTGATTGCTAGTGATAATCTTCCATATGTTCATTATCCTTTTGTAATAGCACTTTTGAAAGTCATTTCCGTCTTTTGTTTTATGTTCTTTGGGCTCAACTTAGAGTAGGATGAGTTGGGGAGATCTATCCTTTTGAGCTCTGGTAGCACAGTGCCTAAGGTGCTTGACTGCTAACCAGAAGGCTGGTGGTTCAAACCCACCACCACTCCTCGGAAGGAAGGTTGGGCAATCCTACTTCCGTAGTGATACTGCCTCGGAAACCCAAGGAGGGGTCGCTATGAGTCGGGGCTGACTCGACGGCACACAACAGCAACAACATCCTTTTGAGAACTACTCCTGTCTGGGCCTGTTATATTAGATGTCACCTTCTTTAACCTTTTATGTGTATTTTGAATATTGTGTTTGTTGGTTGCCCTCGAGTTTATTCGTACAAGGCAACCCCTGAAATCCTCTCCTTATCTACTTGACCCTTGGAGCATTTATATGCTGCTAAGTTCCTTCCTAAAGCTTAAGCGTTCAAGCTTAACTTTGTGCGTATGTTGTGAGGTAAGAACATGAAGAGACCCTTTCTCTCCCAATATGGGTAGTCAATACCCATATAGGTAGTCAATTGTCCCAATACCCCTTTGTAGTTACTACTACTTTTATTATATTATTAATATAATATATTAATATAAAATATCTATAACTACATTTTCATTACTAGTTTTTCCCAATGCCTAGCACAGCATCTTACACATAATAATGCTAAAATAGATATTTGTGGAATAAAGTAATGAGTTTACAACTATGTGATGATTTTCAGGCTATATCTCTTTATCTATATCTGTATATCTATGTCTATAAATCTGTGAAATTTGGTGGCATAGTGGTTAAGGAATTCAGCTGCTAACCAAAAGGTCAGTGGTTGAATAGACCAGCCACACTGTGGGAGAAAGATGAGGCAATCAGTATGCTTCCATAAAGATTTATAACCTTGGAAACCCTATGGAGCAGTTCTACTCTGTCCTAAAGGGTTGTTATGAGTAGGAATTGACTCCAGGGCAGTGGGTTTGGTTTTGGTTTACCTATGAATATAGCTAATCTTCAGCTGTCTAGTAAAACTGAACTTTCTTTTAGGCCCCTGGTGTATATCTTGAAAGTCTTCTAGACTAATTCCTCTAGTTCACTCTATGTTAAAACATTATTAATTGTACTTTAATTTATTCTAACTCTGTATATTCCTTTTATCTACTGGTTAGGCCATTATCTTTAGGCCATTATTATTTGTGATTTGGGTTAAAACCTCCTGCTTGGTCCAAGAGTTTCATCTCCTTTGTGCCCCTCCACCTATTTCCCAGAGAGGACTTCTAAAACACAAATCCAGTTACTTATCGTTGGCTTGCTCTTTATGGCTTCACATTATCAAAGATTAGGCTTCCACCTTCTTCATATGGTATAGGCACCTTTCTGCTTGTTAATCTACTCCTTGGCCATTATGGCCTATCTGCTGTTCTCTGAGTTTGCCTTGCTCTGTTTTGCTGATCTTAAAAATCCTGATGCCTCTCCCATGACTCAAGGGTGTCCTCCATACCCTCTTGCTGATTTTGGTCTCCCCCCTTCCCCTACCCCATGTGCTCCCATGTACCATTGTATGTATCCATGTCTTGTTGTCTATCACATTTCACTGACAGATCACACTGCGTCATAACAACCATCTATTTGTCTTGCCTGGTCCATGCTAAGTATTTCTGTGTGCGTCTACCATCTAAGCATGAGATATTGGATAATTTCTAAGCTTTAGTGTCCTTACTTCCTTCACTCTACAGGCAGCTGCAGGAGGAAATGCTTTGATTCATCATTTAAAGGGCTGTTGGGCTGTCGGTGCGATGCGCAATGTAAGGACCGAGGCGACTGCTGCTGGGATTTTGAAGAAACCTGTGTGGAATCAAGTATGAATTTTGAGAATAAGTTTGGTAGCATGTTGGTTGTACTATCATGGGTATTCAAATGTTCACCTTGACACCTTGCAGACACAATCTATTATCATTTCCCTCTTTAGAGTGCTAAACACAGAGTTCTCACTTTGTTTAGTGAAAATTCAGGGATAAATATCTATAGCACAAGGAATGCTGTATAATTACATATATTTCAATGGTGTTTTACTATGGCTTAAAGTTAACCATCCTGCTGAATTTCATTTTCAGTGGTTCTCAAACTTCATGGTGCTAGTGTTCTACAGGTTACAATTTGAGGAACACTGTTCTTTAGGTGGGAGCAATAGCTTGCAGTGTTAATTCTCTAGGAAATCAAGGAAAAGGGGTCTAGTGGTTGGAGGAGAGTGAAGATTAAGACAGCAGAGCTACTGACATTATGCTATTTGAACAGGGCAGAGGTAAGTGATATCCTAGCGTAGATTTGTATTCTTTTTGCTTAGTCTCCAAAAATCTTTTCTTCCTAAGTAAATAATAAGTGATATGGGATACAGAACTGTGTACACAATAGCAGCACACAACAGTCACCTACTTAACATTTGTCACCTGTTTAACATTTATGCCAGCATATGGCTGGTGTTGATTTTAGTCACTGTTTCCTAGCAGGTGGCAGTAGGAGGCAGCCTCTTGCTTTTTTTTTTTTTTTTTTTCTGTTGTTGTTTAGCAGTGAGATTTATCTAAACTGATCTCCTAACAACCATATAGCCTGGGAGAGTCCAGAGGTGTGGTTGAGAGCTGATCTACCACCTCTGTCACTGCCATCTGGGAAGCACCCTGACTTGCCCAGATTCTGCAGACCTGATTGTGCACCTGTTCCTTTGGTTGTTGCTGTCTCTTCCTTGCTACCTGTCCTTAGATAAGGCTGGGAAAAACAGCTCATAGGTGCTGTCAGTGTGGTCTAGTGATTCTTCGCTGTTGGGAGCTCCTATTCTTTGGTGGGAATAGGACCAGTGATTGCTCTGAGTTTGCCCGGACGTATACCTGCTAGTAGAGCAGAGCTGCAGTGAACAAAGCTGCACTCTCTTTGCCATCCATGGTAATGAGGCAAAGTGGTAGATGACACTCATTTTGTGTTATGTATTTCCCTTTCTTAATGTGGATAAACCAAACATTGGAGAATAATATGGGAGGAAAGGCATGATATTTCTGTTTTCTTTCTGAATTGGACACATAAAATTAGTTCAATGCTCTGAAATGAGTTGTGCAATTTTACAGCTCGAATATGGACCTGTAATAAATTTCGTTGTGGGGAGATCAGACTGGAATCTGCTCTTTGCTCTTGCTCTGATGACTGCTTGCAGAGGAAAGACTGCTGTGTTGATTACAAGACTGTTTGCCAAGGTAAGCAGAAGGATGTTGACCACCATGTGTCTCTGAGTTCAGTACCCTAGGGCTGGCTGATTAAAGAAATCAAAGAATCTTCAACTACTCCATGAAGAACAAAGGATGAAAAGTGTGTTCTGTGGAAAGAAATGGGGTTTATGTACTATCTAGGGAAGGAACTTACAGCATAAATATCACGGAGAAGAGGATAGAGCTTGAAATTCCATATCTGTCTGTAAGACAAGATCTTTTTGAATCCAGTGACTATAGCAGAAACTTGTGGTTTGATAAACTGGATAGCAGATTATAAAGTTAAAATGTTATGGTTTTCTGGCCCAAATATCAGTCTATTATGCTAGTGTGTAATTATGTTGAAACAACTGTGTCCTGACATGACCAATGAAGGACCTTCAAGATTAAAATCCTGATTCCACCTGCTTGGGCCACTTAGCAAGTGGTGTGGAATTTCTTTTTTTGTTTGATGTTTTTGGAGTCACTGATCCTTCAGGATAGCTGATGGAATTTAGAGAAAATGCACATATACACATAGGAACAAAGCTATCATAGCAACAAAGCTATCACCCTCTTTTTCATAACACCACACACAATTGAGCTAACTTACATCTTTTAATATTTTTAGACAAAAGAGATTAAGTTGAATTCTGAGTTTTGAATTAGAAAGAAAATGTTATAATAGAAACCTTATTAGCTATAATCTGTTAGTAGAAAATGCTTTAAACTAATAGATGAGTCAGTTTTTATATAAAATATAACCAAAAATCAGCTGAAAAGGGATGTCAGAAAGGAAACTAAAGGCTGGAATGGTAACTTATTCCTTTCCTTAATAATAACTGCAATATTTAATAGTGAATATTGTGTCATTAAAAAATTCCTCTGAATCCACGAGGCAAGCGTAGTTTCCAGTTTGCTTCTTTCTATAAGTACCGAGCATACTGCCTCTTACCTCTGTCTCTCCCCCAAGCCACACTATTACCACTCTTGTTATCTCAAGACATCCTCAGTGCAGGTGATAAGATTTGCCACTGACTTCATTTCACAATATTGCTTGAGCTTAGCAGAAACAAAAATAATTATTAAAAAGGAATGTTAACATTTACCTTTAACATTAACTGGTTCCCAAATCAAACTCACTGCCATCGAGTTGGATCCAACCCATAGCGACCCCTCCTTGGGTATCTCTACGGAAGTAGATTGCCCAATCTTCCTTCCGATGAGCAGCTGGTGGATTTGAACCATCAGCCTCTGGTTAGCAGTCAGATGCCTTAGGCACTACACCACCAGAGCTTCCATTAACTGGTTGATGGAGTTAGTTTAAGCATTTCATTTTATTTTTTAATAAATATACAAATTCAACTCTAAAGATTCTACATTTATAGTCATATTTTTAAATTACCTAAGTAATTAGATGATTTATACATGAGCCTTTTAGACAATTCCCAGCATGGCATTTAAATGAAATTTAGTGTTTTGTCATCTTTTTTGTCCATTTCCAAGGTTTTTACTTTTTTTAAAAACAAAATGTACCTTTCATTCCTTGGCCTCCCTTCCCCTTCAATTTTGTATTATTTAGAAACAAATCCTAGAGTCAATGCCTTTTTATCTCTAATCTAGTGTTCATGTTCAACAGCATTTATTGTGTTCTGGAAGAATTTTGTTATTGGAGTCAATGAACTAATTGGTTTGAGATTACATCCATTGAACACTTGTTTGTCTTTTCTTATCTGTGGTACCGCAGTCTAGAAATTTTCATCTTATGGTTTTCAGGAGAAACAGCATGGATGAAAGAAGAGTGCAGCACAGCTGAGCAGTCCCATTGTCCAGAAGGGTAAGGTCAATATGGGGATTTTTATCATCCTTTAACAGTTGGACGTGGGAATGTGATAGAGAGGCTGGGTGGAATTTCTTCAAATCTATTTATATTTCAAAACAGAAAAGTTATCAAAGGTTTAGATTCCTTATAGCTTCAAAGTTAGACTTCATTTGCTTAATCGTTTTCAGAGTGCTTTTATATTAATTTATTATATTCATGCTTTACACTGGCTTAAAATTGATTGGAACATTAATACTAACATTTCTAAAGTCCCATGGCCAGGACAGGAATTTAGACTGAAATGACTCCCGCCAGACCCTTTTTTATTAACATCCTAGCACCTCAAATGTATTCTTTCTAAGGGGAAGGAAAGAGGTTTGTCCCTGGCTGACCTCACAATGAAAGGTGAATGACAAGACTTTGTCAGGTGGGCCCGGATAATGAGCACGGGAGGTAACACACTTTGCCGCATGAATCTCTTCCACATTTCTGTAATGGCTGCTTTCTGGCTTTTGCCAGCCTTGAAAAGGTGTCCCATATCACCTCACAAGCAATTGACACTTCCGTTTCTTCCAGTTGCCCTCTGACCTTGAGCTACTGCACTCCCCTAGTCTAAGCTGTGGGAGAATAGTGATGAGGGGGAAGAAGGGTAAAGGAATACCTGGCTTTAGGAAGGTTTGGAATTGTAAAATTGGTGTCCTAGGTGATGCAAGATGAGACCAGAAGGGAATCGGTGAAGAAATGGGGAAGGGGAGGAAGAAGGCACACGGACGCCCTCGTATTATGTTTCCTGTTATTCCATTTACTCCATTGGAATCATTCCTCTTCTCACCCCCCTCATCCCCTGCTTACAGATATAGATGGGTCTATATTTTTGAGATATAATATGCAATGATAATTCTGCTCACTGTTAATAATATTCACCAGTAATATCATTTTAGTGTCTAGAGATAATGCGTTAAATGAAGCCCTACTTGCTGTACATTTAAGGCCTTATTTCACTTTGCTTGATTCTTTGCTTTATTATTTTGCTAGTAATTGTAGTACAATGAGTGTGGGCTAAGTCAGAGACATGTGGGCTGAGAGCCTAGCTCTGCCTCTATTGGCATGGGACACCTTGGATAAGTTACCCGATGCTCTCTACCTGTCTCATATATAAGCTAGAGATAGTATCAGTGTCTGTCTTGCAAGTTGTCCTTATACTTTTTGCTATGATAAAATGAAATAATTCTTGGTATACAGTGAGCCCTAGACAAGCTTCATCATACATAATAAAAATAATATTCATGTAATGTTCGACCATATTAGCAATCAGAGAAATAAAAATGAAAAGAAGATACAATTTTTATGCTACAGTAATCAATACACTATGATTGGTATAAAGTACCAGCCACCTCTTGTGTTTAGGGATATATAAATTGATTTATATTTTAACAAGAAAATTATGACAAAATACATTAATCTCTTTTGAAAGTACTTGTCTTTTGACCAGGAAATTTCACCTTTAGGAAATGTATCTTAAGGAAATAATAGCAGGTGTTTTAGCTACAAAGATGTTCAGAGTAGCATTGCTTTATAATTGTGCTTTTGTAATGCCGTATGGCAGTACTGGAGTAGCTAGCTTGGTGGAGCAAGGAGACCATTAAGGAAGAGGTATACTGGAAATCTGGATTCCACTCTTTTGATTTTAAAAACAATTTTTTAAATTATGTTACACACACACACACACACACACGTGCGCGCGCGCACACACACATATATATATAACAAAATAGTTGCCATTTCAACATTTCTACATGTATAATTTAATGACATTAATCAATTTCTTCATGCACAACCATTACCATTATCCATTTCCAAATTTTTCCATCACCTTTAACAGAAACTCTGCCCTCTCAGTTATGAATCTCCCTATCTTCTCCACCCCTATACCTGGTGTTGTTGTTGTTGTTGTTATGTGCTGTGGAGTCGGACCTGACTCATAGCGACCCCTCCTTGGGTTTCCGAGACAGTATCACTACGGAAGTAGATTGCCCCATTGCCCCATCTTCCTTCCAAGGAGTGGCTGGTGGGTTTGAACTGCCAGCCTTCTGGTTAGCAGTCAAGTGCCTTAGGCACT